CAACATTTGTTGTTGGGCATTGTACCCATTCTTTCCGGTACCCATTTCGGGCGTCCAAGATGAAGAACCTCCGTCTCGATGTTTTCGAGGCGCCCGCTGTCTGGGGAGGAGGGCGGCGCGGACCCGGGGCGGGACGGCGCGCTGCGCTCGCTGGCGCGGGCGGGCGCGCAGGCGGCCGTGGCCGCGGCCGCGGCGGCGCCCGCGGAGGGGGGGCGGGGCCACGCGGCGAGCCCGCCGCGGCCGGAGGGCAGAGGTCAAGCAGGGGATCGACTGCAGAACTGCTATTTGGGGCGGGGTCCCTTGCCCAGTCGTCTTCTTTGGCCCCCGCCGTTGCCCTCGCATATGTTTCCTCTGGCCACGCCTCCCTCGCCCTCCAGGTCGTCGTGTCTCCCCTCCTCTGACACGCCGCAGACGTGAGGGCGAGGGCGCGGCAGTTACTGCAACTAGTTCTTCTGCGCTGCTTCGAGCGCAGCACACGTCACTGTGACATCTTGCTCGGCGGCCACCAAGCGCAGTGTAACATTGCATTTGGGAGGGCCAGAAGAGCTTGTGTAAGGGATCGAGCCCCAAACTGATTCACCCCTAACTTGATCTTCTCGTAGAGCCTATGATCGACAGGCAGTAGATCTACGGCGCATTGCAGGTGCGCTTCGCAGAGTCGACGGGGGATCGATCTTAGGGCACCTCGATTCTGAATGCCGACCCCCTACTCGAAGAGGGCCCTCTGGGCTCGGCGGCAGCCCCGCCCGGGGCGTGCCCTCGGCGCCGCCTGCTGCCGGCGCGGCCACGCCGGGCGGCTCCCCCGGCAGCTCGCGGTGTCCCACCCCGGAGGGCGGCCGGGAGGCGGGCCTCGCGGGCAGCGCTGCCCCCGCGTCCGCCGCGGCGGCGGCGGGCGGCGCGGCGGCGGGGAGCGGCGGCGGCGCGGGGCCCGCTGCGGTGCCCGCCGCGGAGGCCGTCAGCGTCGCGCCGAAAGTTGGCGAGGTGGTTTGCGACCTCATCCGCTGTAGTCATTCATGGGCTTGTTTTCCACCACTACCACCATAAGTTGGAGGGGGAAGGAGAGAGGAGGAGGAGGAGGAGGAGGAAGGAGGAGGAGGAGGAGGAGGAGGGGAGGAGGAGGGGGGAAGGAGGAGGAGGAGGAGGAGGAGGAGGGGGGAGGAGGAGGGGAGAGGAGGAGAGGAGGAGAGGAGGAGGACGAGGAGGAGGAGGAGGAGGACGGAGGGGAGGAAGGGGGAGAAGGAGGAGGAGGAGGAGGAGGAGGTGGAGGAGAAGGACGAGGAGGAGGAGGAGGAGGAGGAGGAGGAGGAGGAGGAGGAGGAGGAGGAGGTGGAGGAGGGCCCCCTCCCCCTCCAACTTATGATGGTGGTGGTGGAAAATAGGCCCATCACGTCATCCCGACCATCCACGGTCCCAGCCGTAGTCGTAAGGTTCTCGGGCTCGGCGGGCTGTTGCAATTATCCCTCCGCCTTTGGCAGGCCTCGCCCGGCGCGGCGCCACGGTCCACGCGCGAAGGTCCTCCGGAGCTCTGCCGAGCCGGCTCGGCGGAGCCGTCGTGAGGCCGTCAAGGATGCCCCGCCGCGGTGCTGCTGCGTGGCGTGGCTGAAAAGTTGCGTTGCCCCTCGGGGGCTTCGTGGTGGCTTCTCGGGAGCTTTGGACTCTCGGGGCCCTCTCGGGAGACGCCTGGGGGCTTCTGGAGGAACTCTTGTGTTCCTGCTGGGGGTCTTGGCTGTTTCAGCGCGACGGCGAGCTCTTCCGAAGAGGTTCCGAGGTAGGCTCCTACACCCCGAGGAGTTGGGCCTTGGGGTGGGCTTGGAGCCCTCTCTCAGGATGGTTTTGGGCCGTCTTGCGAGGTTCTCGGGCCGTCTGTGTGCTGTCATGGTGCCATCTTGGGCTGCCTCGGTTGCCTTTTGGGGCGCTCGGGGTCCGCTTCGGGACTTTCGTTTTTCTTGCAGACTTGCAGTCGGACCGAGGTATACGATCGAGGTCGGTTCGGGGAGGGTACCCTACTGTTCTTCGTGCTTGTTGGCTGTTCTTGTGCATCCTGGGGGGGAGGGCAGCCTCGAATGTTTTTCAGCTTGGGCCGGCGGAGGGTCTCACGCTCTTGAGGGATGTTCTTCTGTTCTGGGTCCGACTGTGTTGTTTGTATGTTCAGCCTTCCTGGTCATTTGCCGGAGGGCTCCGCGGTCGCCTCTCTCCAGGGCTTCCCGGCGCTGGGGGGCCGCCTGTGCCGATACCTTCAAGCATCTGGGGGTCTCTGGGCAGTCCTGGGCCGGTTTTGGAGTACGGTCGGACCGAGGGGTAAGATTCGAAGAAGAAACAAATAGCATAAACACACATTGTTTGGCGGTCCGCGCGGATTTCCTGGATCCGCGCTGGGACGCCCCCGGCGGCGCTTCCGGCGCCGCCCCTGGCGCGCTCCGCACGCCAGGGAGGAGGGTCCAGCGCAGATCCAAGAAATCTGCGCTGACGGTCGAACGTAAATGCGTAGGTGCTTCTTTCT